GTCCTACGGGATGTTCAGGGGTGTTTAACACTCCAAAGATATAACAAAATGGCCGCTTCTGGCCCTAACTATCATATTAACATCGTTGAAAGATTTCGTATCAATTTATTGCAATATTTTTCAAAAAAATTAATTTTTCCTGATTCGATAAAATTCTGAAATATGTTACAACAGATAATAAACATCGAAGGTTAATAATATTCTCCACATATTAACAGTGTCAACGTTATCCTAAGTGTTTCACTTACATATTATTTAAAAAAATACGTGAACAAGACATTTTTAGCATCGGCAGCGATTGGAGGAGAATCGTGAAAATTTTGACATTTCCCAGAAATATTCAATTCAATCAGTGAGTATAGCTTTCTTTCTGAGTGTTTTTAGATCACTTTCCATAAATTCATCATGACTTACTTCCTGCGAAATCTACCAGATGAGGCATTTTCATCGTCAAATTCCTGTTATCCTCCATCCGACGCCGACAATTATCATTTCATAGCAAAAAATATGTTTCGATATGAAAATTACAAGTATATCGAATCTAACGCTATGTTACAAAAAGCACACATAAAAACTCTTCTTGCAAAAACACAAAAATCACATTTCCCCATCTTTAGAATATTCTGTCGAAAAATCTCATTCCCAATTCATTGTTCATCCCTCACTATCTATACAGACAAAATAAAGTGTACCGTACACTTGGCTATATTATAAATAAAGTCCCTGTCAAATATTCTGCTTTCGTATGTTACAGGAAAAACAGCCACGAGAAAAAATAATTATCACCTTTGTTGTTTTTGAGCGACCCTGGTATATAACTGAGAACAAGGTTTTTTAAATAGTTGAAGCCTTTAGACGAGTTATATAAGAAACTTTACAACTTATTCCTCATCCACAATTTTGTAAATGAGGAAGGATGATATCCTGTACGTTAGTCCGTTCATTAAAAACAGTCCATATAAAACAGGCTTGAAGCTAATGAGAGAGGTGAGTTGAGTGGATCCACTTTTAGAATCTTTTTACACCACGTATAGTCATAAATCCGGGAGGCATGGAGGAAAATTAATCCCATAATGTAATTGTATTTCTGTACTAGAGTAACCGAAAAAACAACACATTATATGTAAGTATAGTAATTTTTTATATTAGTTCAATATTGTGATGTGAAAAATATGTTGTTGACTGTCATATTTTTCTGGGATGTATATAGGGTGTATTTTCACCTCGAAACTTGCCATTTAAAATGCTGGCTTCGACAACTGTTTACCAAATGATTATTCCTTGCTCTCTGGAAAAATGAAATGAATAGCAACAGTTAGATGATGATAGACAAACTAATAGTAGAAGGCCAATGACCTCGTTTAAACCAAAAAAACCAAAAAAAAACAACCGTTCTTTTATTTTTTTTTCAGTTGTTTGAATTTTTCACCAGATCATTGGTTTATCGTGGAAAACAACCCAGATGAAGCCGAGAGGAGCATTTTTGTGATTCGATGTCAAAGTTTCAATAAGAAAACATTTTTCTACAATATCTCCCAATATTTTGATGATGAGAAAAACAAATTTTGTTTATTATTCAATGCTGCTTTTTCAATTTTGTAGTAGATTACCAAATACTCTGTCATTCAGATGATTATATACATGTTTGAGCTTCCCCCTTTCATTGACTTTTGTATCTACTTCTTCTTTATAAACAATGTATGTCAATGAATAAAGCCCATTTATTATTATTATTATTGTTTATTGGATTTCAAAGGAGTTTTGAAACGAGGAAATATATCAATGTTGTTGACAGGAGTCAGTCAATTCATCTCAGAAACTTTGTTCGTTGAACATAATGAAAGATTTCAAAAATGATACGACTAAGATTCACGACAAAAACATCGACAAATTATTTTGGATGGAAAACTCATGAACACCGGCATGGGGAATTTGATTATGTTCAGATGATAAAATCTAAATTGACTTTCGAGTTAAATTATCGATATGGATTTAATACATATAATGCTACATACTTTTCAGTATGCCATCATGTATAATTATCACAATTTGTTGGTTATATTAAATGCACTTTTTGTCAGAATTCTTTATTATTATGTTCCAGTTTCACACATTAGACATATTGGAGAAATAACATAAAAAAATGAATCAAGAACCAAACTTGAAAAAAAAGAATCCTTTTTTTGAACAAAGTTAAAAAAAAAAACAGATAACTTATCTACATTATGGAATACTTGTTTTGAACAAAGTTTAAAAAAAATCAGATTACTTATCTACATTATGGAATAAATGTCAAATATTCGACAAACGCAGATATTGAATTCTGCCNTTCAATAATAAATTGTATAATGTTCATAATTTTCAACAATTAATTCATTTCATGGCCTGAGGTACAAATTGATTATAGTGTTACACCGATGGATAAGGAGAATTGCCATCAAATGACATATGTTGGAGGCTAAGGTTAATTGTTGAATGATTTTTATCAACTTTGACTTTCTTACTGAGCTTTCTTGGTGTACATAATTAATGTTTTGTAATAAACGATAAAAAAAGCTCATCTTTTTGATTCCTTTCTGTGTACCAATTCGAAATATCTCAATATGAAAAGCAGAGTTGAAAATTACTATTGACATATCTCTCAGGGTCGAGTTTAAAAAAGCTATAGTTGACACCTCGCCCATTTGTTATAAGGTTATCTTCAATTAATGTAAATACGAATAAGACAAACTTTATATCTTGTGATGAATAAAGTCGATTATTATTATTATATGTGATTGGAAAAACTACCTCCTCTCGTGCTTAGCTTGAAACCTGAAACCTCACGTACATATGTCTGAACAATATATATCATTAGAGCACAACCGACCTACTTTGATGCAACGTGAATTTCCGTTTTGAGCCATCCTATTTGTACGATGATATGATATCGATTTCAATTCTCAATCCATGGCACGTCGTTTCGAAAGTGATAGGTTATTTCAGTACATTACACAGGTCTGATAAGTTTTAGGGTAATTAGTTTCAGTCAGTTGTCGCTATGTGGATTCAATAAATATTTTTTTGATTACAAAAATTTCAAAAAAGTTTCTTACTAGCTGGGAAAAATTATCAGAAATATTTCTGTTCTTCACTATCCTATGAGTGAATTTTGTACTGACGTAAAACTGTTTACAAATCTGCGACACATGTTTCACTATATAAGAGCTTCTTCAGGCATGTTAAGTACAAACTATTTTAATAACCCTATTGTCTTTGTTATAGATTAAAGCGATTTGGTTGATAATGACTTCCGTTACTTCACTCATGACTTTTACTATTGATGGTGAAAAACTCGTTGAATTGGGCATATTAAAAGCAAAAACTACCTCTCATATCACCATAATTCAAAGCTACAATAATCAGCAATTCCATGATAACAAAAAAAATTCAACAAAAGGGAATCATCTAAATCAATTTTGTTTCGAATTCGTAAAACTATTGTTTTCTGAGCATTCTGAAATATTGAGTTTTAAACCTTTCTTTTCCAAAAAGTAATTCATCCTTATCCTGCCCCTTTGTCAAAAGAAGATTTGGAGATGTTGATAAAGTGTTCTTAATTTAATTTTCTATGGTCTTTCATTCTTATGGAGAGAGTTTTCCCCATTTGGCCTATATAAAGTTTTGGACAGGAGCCACGAGGTAAACAACCTCATATCCAAAATTTGCCCGATTCCACTGACCATATATGAAAAAAAACTTATAGTCAGTGGGTATACTTGAAGATGATTTGATTTATAGCCAGTCTTCAAGTATGCCTATTGACTATATGTGAAAAGTTATCTTGAGAACAATAATAAATGCTGTTGTGATTGTTGTGATTGATAATTTCAGGGTTGACAGAAATGTGTTATATTTTCGTTTTGGGTTTGTTTTTCTAACAATCTCAAAAAATATCTCTCTTTCTTTAACTCAATGTCAAATTCGTAAAAGAGGAAGACAGGAAAAATTTTGGAAGAAATCTAGAATAATGGTATTGATTTCAAATCGATACAATGAGTTGATCATGTGAAAATTTCATGAGCTACATGGAAATTATTTTTTTTGGGAGATCTCATATTTGGAGATTGATTATTTTGAACTACAATGCACTATATCAGGGGAGCCCACGATACAAAATGGGGATTTACTCAGCGTCGTTGAGAATGTTAGGTTGCAAAGCTTATATGATAAGAAGAAAAAAATGTTATATATTATATACCTTTTCATCGGTGGGGGAAGCGGCTATAGATTTTTAAATATGTAAAAAATACTGTTGCATGGACATACTCGAGCGCGTCAGATATTGATAGCATCAATGTCCTACGTATTTTAATAATGTTCGTATGTTAATTTGATCGTTTGCATGATGTGGGTGGTTGTACGTAAGGGTTAAAAGTGAAAAAAAAATTAATCGAGCGCGTCAGATTTTCTACTGGGGAGTTAAGTGCAACAAAAAAAGCTGTCATTCAATAATCTGACGATTTCGATCTGACGCAAACTCGCGGCCATTATTATAATGTGAGAAGAAAATTCGCCATTTTGAAACTCAAGCGCGTCAGATCAAGATATATATGGTTCATCTTTATATTTTAGACATGCTGTCTCATAATCTGACGATTATCTAGAGGGATTCGCTTAATCCGACAAAAACAATACTTTTTCAATTTTTTTTCAATTCATTGAACTTAATCAATTGAAAAGCTCAGAAAATAGAATGCAAATAAAACAGGGTATGTTTTTCAGGTAGAATACTTGTATTTATTGTATTTACAACTTTGCTGCCCTCCCCTTTCTTTACGTCACTCTCAAATTGTCAGATTACTGGAATATACACTTTTTAGCAGGTGATTAACTCACCCTACCTTAATCTGACGCGCTCGAGAATTTCTGATGATCAATTTTTTTTACTAATCTGATCCTACCCCTCACACGCGGCCTTATATATGGGGCTCATATTTGGTGGGGGTACTTAACCGGGTTCAAGGTATCCCCCTGTATAATAATCTGCAGCGCTTTAGTAAATCCCGAAATCCCCACTTGGGCTCCCGTATTACTACAAATAGTGCATTGGATGACATTTCGCAAATATTTCACAATCTTTCCTTTTTAAGATCACCCCTTCTTTATTTATTAGAGAAAAGAACTCTTGAGTTCTTGGAGTCTTTTCCCGATTAAATGAAATAAAAAATTCTACCACTGGTTGATTTTCAATAAAGGCAATGAATTCAAAACGATCGATGGAAATTATCCTGTCGTAAATAAACAAAAACCAGTTGAACTCACAGGAAAACCAATTTCAGTTTGGTATGCTTATGATGAACCGAATTACTATTAAAAAAATACTCAACTTGTTTGAACTCATGTTCAAAACTTGTAGTTCTAACTTTGTGGACCATTTTTTCTGTACACATCGAAATAGAACACTTGGGCAGGTCTAATAATTCCTAATCTTGAACTAACACTAATAATATTCACATTCATTATAACAATTTTAACATTACTATAAAGTATCACAAAAAATACTTCTCGTTTCGGAGATATTTTCACAGTTCTTTTTCCGAAAATTCAATGGTATTCAAAACGTTATATTCTGTATTCAACTGTTTGTGCTCATTGGAGAGATTAAAAAAATGTATAGGAGCAGCATGAATCGATTAGACGGAATAAAAAAATATTTCAATTCTTAGTCGGAATATTATATGTTGACAAACCGGAAACAAACTTATATAAAAATTATGTTTGTGTGCATATTTTGTGATAATAGAGACAGTCCGGAAGTAAACGATGTTCTTTGAACACATCTTTGTACGTTTACTTGTTCATTTGTGCATGGACAATCACTGAAAGTAAAGGAAATTGATAGAGAAGACCATTAGTGGTCCATCCGACTATTTCTGCTGATACTGAAACATCAAGAAGCAAACATTGGTGAAAGCCATTATGAAAACAGTCAAAGAAAATTATTGTCATTCCGTTTCAATGTCGAAGGAATCCGAATAATTGAACAAACGTAGCGGAGAAGCTGGAAATTAGGGTGCTTTCGAAAAATATTACCATCGAAAAAGGTGCGTCCTCTACTCAGGTTTGAGTCTATGCCACTGTACTATAGTTTGCCTCGGTTTCGTTATCATATCCTGCCAGTGCTTTGTCTCAGAAGCTCCCGATCCGTTTTTCCCTGTGAAAAAACATGAAAATAATTATGTTGCAAAATAGATGAATCAATCAATTTGGGTTGGGTTGGGTCATAATAGAGTGGGCCTCCACTGCAACCCGCAGGGGTTTATTGTGGCTCTCATCTATTCACACTAGACCAAATAAACCAGGGGTTCCCAACCTTTTTGCACCTGCGAACCACTTGAATTTTTGAGAATTTTGGAGTATCCACTGTACTATAGTTTGCCTCGGTTTCGTTATCATATCCTGCCAGTGCTTTGTCTCAGAAGCTCCCGATCCATTTTTCCCTGTGAAAAAACACGAAAATAATTATGTTGCTAAATAGATAAATCAATCAATTTGGGTTAGGTTGGGTCATAATAGAGTGGGCCTCCACTGCAACCCGCAGGGGTTTATTGTGGCTCTCACCTATTCACACTAGACCAAATAAACCAGGGGTTCCCAACCTTTTTGCACCTGCGAACCACTTGAATTTTTGAGAAATATTGGCGTACCACCAGACCTGAATGTTCTGATAAACGTATAATATTTACTTTTCTAAAAGTGTTCAAAGGCTTTTTTAATTAAATTCCTGAGAAAGCTTCATATTTAATGGTTAGATATTTGTTTATTTATAACATGCTTATAATAAAGGAGAAATAAAAAGATTGAAATGGTATTGATTTACACTTTCATTTATTACTCATAGGTCTAAAAACATACAAATAAAAAATTATTAAAAAGTCAGCAAATTAATCATCATACAAAATATACTTTTAAAGTCTTTAGTCTTTTGCTGTTGTTTGCCTGTGATTAAATTATTAACATTAGGAGTAATTCCTTCACTATCAGATTTGTATAGTCAAGAAAAACGTAAACACAATTGTCTTGTTGATTCGGCGAAGAAATAATATTTTCAACAGAAAATTGATAAATCGGACAATCCAACAAAGACTGCATGGAATATCGTATCCAAACTCTCGTACACAACATCCTACTAATTCCATGGTTACTTGTATCGTAACATGGTTACTGAATAGCTTCTTCTTTATGATTTGAAGTGCTCCTTCGACAGGAACGTTGGTGTAGAGGCTTTCCACGTCGAAACTGATCAGTTGATCCTGATCTTTGACTTCGATTTTCCCTAGTAGTTCAACGAAATGCCTTGAATTTTTCACAAAAGATGATGTTTTACCTTGCAATGATTTAATTATTGGTAGTAAAAATCTGGACAAGTTCTGAGTGGCTGAATCTCTGGAGCTATGAAGAATTGCACCGGATACCCTGCGAGTGCGGAAAATCCTGTATTGGTGAAACTAAGAGGCCATTGAATGTTCTCATTGCTGAGCACAAGAAACACACACAGCGAGGAGAAACCAGCAAATCCAGAATAGCAGAGCATGTTTGGGCTCATCAACATAATATCAAGTGGGCTCAAGCTGAAATCATACACAAAGAGGAACACTGGTTTAGGAGAAAATTCAAAGAAGCCGCGTGTTTGTTGTCCAATAACGCATTTAGTCAAGCTAGCGTAGAGATACGTAACATATGGAAACCTCTAATCCAACGAAAAACGAGCAACTCCCACCAAACGGTCATTTCCCGCTAAAAAACAAATGAAGCGGAGAGAGAGAAGAGGGGATAGGTGAAAGCACTCGAATGGCCTATAAATAGTCGGATCTCGGAGGAATAAGTCCAGTTATGACCCGAAGACGATTGTGGATACTTACAATCGAAACGTCGTGACATAACTTGGTTTGAAATCTTTCAATTTTTATTATAATTTTTCTTTTATTAATATTTCAATTTTTATTTTTTGGTTGTTTGGTTTTATGTTATTTCTTTGTAATTTCAGTTTTTTTGTTCAAATAAAATTGTTATTTTCGGTTCATCTTTTTAATATTTTTTCAGGAATTGCAAATCAATTTATATTATATTAGACAATGGAAATTCGAACTGATGAAATACACCACGAAACATTGTCAACCACCTTCAAACAAACAGAGAATTTGGTTTATCAACGAGAATTTGGCACCGAAAGTTTTGTGCAGAAAACTTGAATATATTTTTTCTGTTTGGAATGATCGTCATAATGATCTAAATTCTTTTTCAAATTATCTCAACGAACAAGGATCGACAATAAAGTTCACAATAGGGATTTTGACACAAGTTTTCATCAAACGAAAGTATATACTGAAGGAATAATCTAATACACATTAAACCATCATGCGAGTGTTGAAAAACTGTAGTAAATTGTCTCTACGAGTATAACGGAGCAAAAATCCCGCATTCGCGCTGAACTGTAGTCAACAATATCAAAATGCGGACGTATTCCATGCTTTCGTTATTTCTTATCGATTCTACAATAAACGATTTTGAGAAAAACAACATCAAAATATTCAGAATGTTACAGAAAATCACAATCATCCTCCCCCGTGTAAATGAAATACAAGTATGACTCACCGGCAAGGAGAATCCTCCCAATAAGTTCATTCCTCCCTATGTTATCGAAGTCCATCACCATTACATCCAATGAGCATTCTCGGATCTTTTCCCAGGGAACGTTGAACGAGAATGTATCGTTGAAGACGGGATTCAGAGTGCACTTGAAAATGGCTGTCTTGCGCTTCTCAATGCGTTTGTCGCCGAACTGGAGCCATACCTTAACGTATGGATCTGTAATGATAATTGACAAATATTGTTTATGAAATATCGTAGGAACTATTGGATATATTGATTTATTATTCCTTTTATTCATTTATTGAATATATTGTTCAGGATATATGGTACTGGGGCTCTCAAAAATTGGAACATATGGCTAGTACCCCTATCTGAAATCAATAACCACTCTCAATAATGCGACAGATTATTCAAATGTTTGTCTTAGAGTGTCAAATGTTTTATTGAAGTAATAGAAACGCGTATTGATGGTCATCGGCGGTCAATATCTGAACTAATAGTCTTATGACCAAGAACGAAGATAAACTCATAATAATAATGATAATAATAAACTTCATCCATTCTTTAAGATCATAAACATGATATAGGACAAGTCATAAAATGTATATACACAAACATATATTGGTACAACTATAAGAGGTTCTTGGAAGAACAGACCAATAAAAATAATAAAGAACATCCTCAGAATAATGAGCTGGAGATTTTCCATCTCAATATTCAGTGTTTTAGCAATAAAGTAGAATAGTTTCAGCTATATCTCGAAAACAAAGATTATGACATTATATGTGACATTATATGTCATAATCTCGATGATTATAGCCTTATAAGTTACTTTTGTAGACAAACCCTTCAACATGGAGGAGTCTCTATTTATATTCGTAATAACGTCACATGTAAACTTCTCCTTTTGAATGACTTCTGTATTGAAAAACACGCAGAATTTTGTGGAATTGAATAAACAAACATGAACACTGCTCTCATAACAATTTATAGATCCTCACTATCGAAATAATATGACTGATTCTTGAATAAAGTTGAAGAACTTTGTTATTACCCAATTACACTAACATTATACTAACCGGTGACTTCAACATTGACATAAATAAAAAAAGTCCTGTCTGTACATCATTTCTGAAGAACACATATAGTTCCCTTATTCGTAAACATTTCCCAATGAAAAAAAACAAAAGTCAAAATTCGGCGAAAGGGACCTATAAATTTTTTTGATGATGAATTAATTTCAATGAGAGATACTTTACAAGCACTGCGCAATGTAAGTACCTCTTCGAAACATCCCAGCGATACGGAACATTTATAAAAATTCAAACATGAATATGAAATTGCAGTTTACAAGGCAAAAAAAGAATCGTAGGTATGATAAATTCACACAAAATTCAACCAACAAACATAAAGATACTTGGAATTTATTGAACTACGAAAGAAAATCTACTAGTGAGCACAAAACAATTCCCAACAACATCAGTGCCAATGAATTCAACATATTTTTCTCGGATATTGCCGAGAATATCATTAAATCTCTACCTACTTGCAACATCTCCGCTATCGATTATATTTCTAGCCTCCCAAAACCAGTTAATTCATTTTTTCTACTACCAGTTGATCATGAAGAAGTAACACTTGCTATTCGAAAACTCAGCCTTAAACTTATTTAATTCATACTTAACCAGAAGGAAACAAGCCGTCTGCACAAACGGGGAATTATCTGTAGAGGAAGTAGTTTCCCATGGCATACCTCAGGGGTCAATCCTTGGACCTATACTTTTTGTAATATATGTGAATGATATTTTTCAAAGCCTACTACCTAGCACAGTCATCTGGTTTGCAAATGATACAGCAATGATTCACTCTAACTCCGACATTAGTATACTACTCGACAAGACCAATGAAATTGAAGAAAAGGCTGTAAACTGGTTTACTTCCAATAATTTGAAATTAAATAGGGGAAAAACTCAAAACTTATATCTTCAAATAATAGGGTAACCACACTCAAGCACGTAATATTATTAGGTAAAATCATTGATAACTCACTTAAATGGGAAAATCATATTGACTCGATGAAACATCCGCAGGTCCAGACGAAATACCCACGTTCGTTTTAAAAAAAGCTATGAATGTTATAATAGGACCTTCGACATTTTTATTGAATCTTTCGAATATGGATTGTTGGATGAATTTTATTAATGAGCATAATATTTTGACAAATAGCCAGCACGGTTTTTGACCTGGTAAATCAACAATTAGCGCAATCTATGACTTTTATGACAATCTCATAAACCATATAGATCAAGGAGAGGTCCCAATGGGCATTTTCTGTGACCTTAGTCGAGCTTTCGACTGTGTGGACCACGATATTCCTTTATCAAAATTGTATAACAACGGTATTAGAGGTGTTTGTCTGGAATGTTCAGAATCATTCATTAGATGTCGTTCTCAGTCTGAAACATTATCAAAATAATATAATTCGTAATGTTAGATCTGCCAATACCGATATTAATATAGGTGTTCCACAAGGATCTATTATGGGCCCAGTTCTTTTTATTTTGTACATAAATCAAATCGCAATTTTCTTTTCGGGTATTGAGATGACTATTTATGCAGACGACACTTCTCTACTGATTTCCAACAAAAATGAAATAGAACTAAAAAAAAAACCGGTGAAACTGCTCTATGCCAACTAACTTCTTAGTTCAATCAAATCACCCTTTATTTTAATGCAGACAAAACTAACCTTGGAAATTCCGTAGTCATCAGAGGGAATTGGTAAATGTGGATATAATTTCAAATAACACACCTCTGCCTATAAATAACAGCTGTAACTCACATTAAGATTGAAAAGAACATTGCAAGCTCCTGATTTCCAAACTTTCATCTCTCCACTATATGCTCACAAATCTCAAAGTTGTTTTGACATAGCAACAATTGATAAACTTATACTACGCACAAGTGGAAAGTCGACTGAGGTATGGTATTTTCCTATGGGGAGACTACACTGTCGAATAACGAAGACAATTACCCCATATAAAAAATCAACTTGTCCCTGGAATTCCTATTGATATCGTCAATTTATTTGATAATGGATATATACGTTACTTTATAAACGTCATGCATATAAGTCATTTTCCCCTATAGTATCAACACTATTCTGCAATGATGTTTCATTATTTACTCCAATCAACTACAACTCGAAACAAACAAAACAAATTGAATTAATATCCAACATCGATTTGATCTAATTTTCGTGGGAGTATTTCGAGTCTGGCAATGTCTAGTGATACGTAAATTTATTCGAAGATATATTCAATGGAATGACTTCCATAAGTCAAGCAGTTTGAATTTCGTACGGAATGAAATGTCTACATATTCGACACGTATTCATTGAATTCATTAACGTGAATCGAGCACCAACAAAATTGCAAGTGGATTGATATCTGACATGATTACTATTGAAATAGTCGTGCAGGTTGGTGCAAGAAGAGGTTGTTAAGTTCTTCTATATTTGACAGAAACCATTGATTGGATCATTTCGATACGAAATATCTTCTACAGATATAATCCAAATGCAAATCATTAATGGCAACGATAAACCTTTGATCAAAAATGTAATATTCTCTTTAATATCCACTCACTGAATTCGAAAGTTGAAGTTGATAGATTTATTCAAATCCATCATAATTCCAACGTTATCTTGAAGGATCATTAACATTGTCCTAACACTCATATCTTACTCAAGTGTCCTTAGCAAAAGACCATTTTCTGAGAAAAAACACGCTAAGTAATGAACCAACTCCTGGCTAAAATGATGTTAATAAAAAAGCGAAATAGCTCTCCTTGCCTCTGATAAGAATACGAGTAATAATACAAACTTTCAATATCCCAAACACTAGAAAAACTTTTGCAGTTTCCGACACAATAAAATTTTTATTGAACGGGCTTCTTCAATTTTCATTCCCTCACAACAACGAGAAATGAAAACACACCCCTAACCTCTTATAATAATAATAATAATTAGTTTATTGTCAATAAAAATAACTAGATAATAACACAAAATAAAATGCAAGAGAGGGAAAAATAAAAACACTTTGTATTTGATTGCAAATGGCTTTTAGTTCAGATCGCGAATTTGCATTCGCATCTGCTTGACGGCTTGAAGAGAAGAAAAGAAGAAAGAAAGAGAAAAAAAAAGAAAAGAGAAGGTAATATGAAGATATAGATATATGAATAGCTAAAACGATTTTCAGGATTCTCGCCGTGGACCTAGTTAATCTGAATGCTGAATAGATGCTGTTTAAACCTACTTTTAAAAACAGTTTCCGACATGTTGAAATAATTGTTTTCCCATTAATGGAGTTAATTTATTGTGGAGGAGATATTATAGAAGAAAGATCATTTGAATATTCCCTTTTTATGTACAGGAATGTTTAGCACTGTCTTTTTACGCAAATTCAGGTTATGGATATCTGTACTATAAGACAAATGTTCAAGAATATCTTTGTTTTAAAGATGCATCCTCATTAGACCAAATGAAACAAAATTCTATTCCCTATTTCGAAGCCGGATGAGGGTGGATTTACTCTGTACCTACCCAGTACACGAGACAAATGGAGATTGCCGTCGATGCCGAGGATATCACAAAGAAAAGGAATAAGAGAAAAACCGAGCATGAAGGAGCCAACAAAAACTCACCTGATTTTCCATTGATGTCTTTGGCTTTCAAATTTCGGGCTTTCAGCAAAGTTAATGTTAAGATACTGTTACTGGGGTGGTAGCAGAGAGAAGTTAGTAGTTCGCCACATTTGTCCTTCGCGGGTGGTTTTAGCGCTTTCCAAAATGCCGGTTTTTCACTGAGGTCAACCTGTAAAACGATAAAACAATGAAAAATGCTTAAAAAACCCCAGTTTATCATTCACTGAAAAGCTGAATTACATATTATTTTACTCTTGGAAATCTGAGCAATCAACAATGGATACAAAAGCAAAGCTATTGAAGGAAAGCTTTGCTTGCGATATTATAATTCTGAATCAGACCAAAATTTGGCCAGATATGAGAAATTTGAAATTAAAAATTTCAAATATTCTTCATTTCGCCGAAATCGCACCACTAAGGCTAAAAGTTGATATCAATGTGTCTTTCAGTACTCAAAAAATGGACGAAAATAATTTTTTGCGAGATTTTGTGAAAGCTCGCAAATAACGTTAAAATAAACGTCTTTTATGCAACCAAAGGGGGGTTTATATAAGGGAATTTTCTTTGTTGGAATCAGAATTTCACAACTTTCAGAAAAGAACATCGATTTTTTTATCTTTCCGGTCCCAAAATGGCGTCAAAAAATATGTTATAAGAGCTTTCTTGATGATGATGGATGTAGCCGTTACTACGGGGTAGGAAATCATAATGAAGAAAAGAGAAATTAAACTTTCTATGTTTTTACCACTTTTATTTGTAACTAATGTTACTGCAGTTTCGTCCTATAAGGACATTTTCAAACTAATACAATATATAAGGACAGTCGATAGCCAAGCTCGGCGTGGGTGCTTTGTTCACTCACTCGAATTGACTGCCGTGTTGGTCGGTGGTTCAAGCCCTAGTCTGAACGATCGATCTTCACTTGCTACCGTCCAACCCGTGTTACGAATCACACGTTAAAAGGTAAGACCTCGTTAATCCTTAGCTCGCACAAATTTCGACTTCTGAGGGTTGTCGTTCGTAGGGGTGCGACAGCTGGTTAACGGAAAAACAGATTTTAAACAGATTTTTTTTAAACAGATTTTCAAACTTATACAATATATAAGTTTGAAAATATCCTTATAGGATGAAACTGCAGTAACGTTAGTTACAAATAAAAGTGGTAAAAAACATAGAAAGTTTCATATCTCTTTCTTCATCAATTGATTATTAAAAATTAAAGTTTTTTGAGCATTTTGAAAAAAATATTTTCTTATAAATACAAGTATTCTACTTTAAAAACATAGACTTATTTATTTGCATGTTATTAACTGAGCTTTTCAATTAATTAGGTTCAATGAATTGAAAAAAAAATATTTTTGTCAGATTAAGCGAATCCCTCGAGATGATCGTCAGATCATGAGACAGCACGTCTAAAACATAAAGGTGAACCATATATATCTTAATCTGGCGCGCTTGAGTTTTTCAAAATGACGAATTCATTTTGCACATTATAATAATGGCCGCGAGTTTGCGTCAGATCGAACCTCCTGAAAGTCAGCGATACTTAACGATTCAGCCACGCATAGTTTCTCCGCCTCTGTCTTGGGCGAATCATTATTTGAGTATGCGTTTGCTGACCTGCCCAGGGAAAGTATTTTCTTTCCTAATACAAATTTTGCTGTTCAAAAATGTGGTACAAAGCAGATTCAAAAGTTATCTTGCTCTTGTGGAGTCGCCAATATCTAGCCTGCTAGGTTTGTTAACGGGATTGAGGGTTGAGGAACTGAGGAGCTCTTGTTTCGATGTTACAGGAAGTTGGAGTTAGATTCTTTGGTTAGTTCAGGGTCCATAAAGGTTTAACGAGTAGTTGGGAGTGGACTCAAAGTCATATATCTTTTTTGTATGAATACCCATACCTCAAGATGAGGTTTCATTTAGAAGGAACTTCACCTCCACTAGAGGCACCTCACAGGGGTGAGGTGTCGTTTGTGGTGTCGTCTTCCATTGCAGGAGGAAAATGTAAACATGTTTTATCTGTTTCTAGTTCAAGGCATTTTCTTTATTTTGTCCACGCCATAGACTTCCAAAACTTCCAAATGTTTCGTAACTCGTGAATGAATAAACTGGAAACCAACATTTCTGGCTGAATATGGTTTTGTTTAGAGCCGTAAATAACAAGAAAAAGTTCACTTCCATAAACATTTAATTTCAACTCAAACTTTTACGACAAGTTATGAAGTTTTATCTCTCCCTTGAATCTGAAGGCAACTTGACTACAATAATATTAAATTTTATATACACTCTATCTTCCAAGCTCCTCCACAATGCCACTGCTTCTATGAACGAGTTCTCGACCAAATTAGGACAATAAAAACGAACATTCACGAAACTGTTCACGAAATGTTTCGGAAACACTGAGAAATTTCCAGGTGCTGGTGGCTCTGGAAAAATATTACTTTAAAAGCAGCTAATTAGATGCAAGTTTGAATCAACTTCGTAGCGATTTTAAAAAATACTAATTGATAAATTTAGGAATACAGCTCTTTCCTGGTTCAGATAACCAGATGGATTATGAATGCTGGTGTTTTGTTTCAATAAACGTACCAAAAAATCAGTACCAGTACCTTTGAATACACCCTAGTGCTTGGCAGAATACCGCACTATCATTTTGGACTATACAAGAAAAGCACTGAGATTCAGAAACAAAAAAAACAATTGGAAAGAAATGGGGAAGTGGTACAAATAAAATCTGGCTACCTGCACTCGACTGTAGAACACTTCGTCCGTTGCCTCATAACTTTTGATGATGAGTACCGCAGTTGTAGACAAAACGTCAGCCCTAAAATCCTGCGAGATCATGGCCAATAAACCCCGACTAGTATTTTATAACTTATATTACAATACATAATGAATTTTGGAACAATTATGAAATACAAATCAATTCAGAGAACTAAGATTATCAAAAAAAAGGAAGAAGAAATGAAAATCAACTCAAAGTGCTGCTTCTTTCCCTCCTATTCATAAAAGAGGACATATGCCTCATCGCTCACAAGTGATTTTGGCGAAATTGGGAACACGTGTGGATATTTGTATTCATGCCACGTGCCACTATATGGGTGTCTGCAATACGCTGTGTAATAAAGATTCATTGTACAATAATGTGCTGAGGGATGGAACTGGTAGGGCATCCAACCAAGCGCCTGCATGTGTTGATGACACATGAGAAAAAGAACTTTTTGACATTTGAACAGGTTAAATATTATGTTTTGCACAGCAGGATTAGGACCAGATTCAAGGGTAGATATTTGGAGCACGAAGGATAAAATCAGGTGTAACATTTGTTTCCATTTGGAGACATTAATAATTTATCCTTGTTTCAGTTGGATTGCAGTTGAAATCGAACGAAAACGGAAGTGAATGAAGAGAAGTGAAGCGATAAAATGGCTAGATGTAGCGCATGCATCTTGAGCAACATGGAAATGGAATGAAAGATGAAGAAAGGAAGTTCCTGAAACAACTGCAGAAACAAGAAATGCCCAAAAAATAACTGGAAAAACGAGAACAACGAAGAAAGGGAAAACTAGATAGCAGATGGAAATTAGGATGGAAACTGTTATTGAAACAGAAACATAATAACATAATGAATGTTTATCCTGACACCTGAATGAATTCAGTTAAGTTCTGCAGGAGGACATGTCAGAAAAAGTTCAATAATTGCAAGCAAAATATTTGAGGTTACAGACGGAATAACGAAGGTTCGAAGTAGAGTCAAAGAAGTCTAAGATGAAGTGCAGACTTTCAGGGGTCGCGTTGAAGTTGTTGAAAATGATGGTTTTGATAAATATATCATCAAAGTAGAGATAAAAACAGAACAGGTCACAAAAGGTGAGAAACTGCACGAATTAGTGTACAAACTGAAAAGTCGACTGATATAATTTCACACTTCAGTTCTGGATGGACTAGACAGTCATCACTGACCATATGTCATCAACATGAAACAGCAGCCAACGCTAACGACTGAAAGAAGTAGAAAAAAGCCAGTGCAATATTGCTAGTGCAACAAGATCAGGCACTGGAAAAATATGAATGAAAATACTTGGTTAGGTATACCACAAGCATTTTTCCAAAGCGAAGACCAATCAACTGGAATATCAATTTGGCCTTTCATCAAGAAAGGAAAGATACGAAGCCCTCAGATGACATAAGGGCTCCATAACAATATTCTGAAAACACTATTCTGTATTCAGCTGACCTTAAATTTCAGGATATGGTATTTGTTTTGTAGCCATGTTGATAGATGGTGCAAGAATAGAATTCCATCAGATTTGACAGTACTGAATAGGCACATTGAATACTGGTAAGATATATCATTTTAAATCCTATTTTAGTACCTATTGAAAATAAGTAATTGAAGCTTTAGTTAGCGTGCGACTAGTACAACTGTGATAAGATGAGGACACTCCTCATCAAAATATTCAAGAGATTACACCAGGTTCATTTTGAAAGTTTCCCTTTGAATGAACCCAAATATCTCGATAAATGTATTCAAATCACCAGCAAACTGATGTATTGATAACCACATACTGTTCCCCAACTATTCTTGATGCGTATAACTTGTTGTCAAACTAATATCTATCTTGACAGCAATGGTTTCAATATTAATTATAACTTCCTGAAGGAAACATTACTCATTTCGCTTCACTCTCGTCATGATACGATTCGTATTGTTTCGTGTATGTTAGATAATTCAAACAGACATCTCATTTTGGCGTGCCAGAATAATAATTGGAGATTATGGTATCGCTCCGCAACGTTGAAGAAGAAACACACGCCTGTCGTGACAGAAAGATAATTTCAAGGTTTGGACCAACTTTTCCTTATATGATAAAATACGTGACGGGTAACGAAAACACGGAGTTGCACAATTGCTGAAGGCTTTTGAAGACGATAGAAATTGAATATATGCGTGGGAAGGTTGTGTGAAAGATTGGAGGTTAGGTCAGCACATTTTTCTCATTTTTTTCACTCCCAGAAAGGTTCTCAATCTAGAGTTATTTGAGAACATAAAAAAATTGGCAAGTTGTTTGAGCATGGAACAAGAGTTTACCTCAGACCAGAGCTGGATAATTATTACATTTCATTTATTTAATTATACAGTGTTCAATATATGGTTTTTGAAAATCATATATAAGAAGGTAATCATTTTGAGCTCGAGGATCCAGATACCTGACTCCTTATTTTTGACAAGCTAATTTCATTTCAGGTTTTTCGACCGTATCGGTTCGATTACTCGACTCAACAGACGCACGTCGCGCCGACGCACTCCTTTTATATCGATAAGGAAGGTTCTAGTCTAGACTCGAAGCGCGAGGAAGGTTCTATTGTTCTCAACAAAAATAATAGGGTATTTCCACTTGTTGCTAAGAGATGGCGTTACTATCTATGATTGAGTTGTTTTAGTATCAGGGGTCTCCAAACTACGGCCAGCGGGCCAAATCCGGTCCGCCAGTGTCATCAATCCGGCCCGCGACAGTCAATGATTTACTGTCATCAATCTGGCCCGCGACAGCCAATGATTACCTAATTGTTGTTACTATTTGGCAAATCTTTACCCTGGAACGAGAACGATTGGGGTTGAAGGATCGGAAAATATACGTATGGAATGGGGCGTATGAAAGATAAGGATTATTTATTCGTAGACCTAAGGGCGCTTTATGCCAGTGGAATTTTTCGTAAGGGTCCTGGTTCGTAATTTCCTGTACTCGTGAGTTATCAACTCACTTGTAATAACGTGTTCTAAAACACTTTATTGTGTGATTTTCACTAGACAGTTTTACAAAAACGCAACACGTGTTTCGCCATACAATAGCATCCTCGGGCGTGTCTTATTAACTAATTCTATATATTCTATATATACCTTATTCTACAATTTGAAGTACCGGAATTTCAAGTACCTGATTTTTTACGTAAGTTTGTAATGAATTTAATTACCTGAGCTCAAGTTCCATTTTCCACATTTGAAAAAATATTCAGTAACGGAGAGTTATTTAATTCTAATTGATCATTCAGTAAATTACCCGAATTCCTGAATCTATTGATTTCTAAACATTCAAACTCTTCTCTTCTAAATGTAACACATCGTATTCATGATTTAACTCATATCCTTCTGCTAAAAGGTGGTTTGCAAATGTGGAATCGGTCTATCTATTTAAAAAACTACTTCCATGCTCTTTAATTCTTTGGGAAAATATTCTTTGTGTTTGACCAATATACAGTTTTGGACAAGAGCCACAAGTCAGCTTATATACTCCTTCTATCAGACACCGAAGTTTTGTCTTTTTTGTTTTTAATGAATTCACTTAGATTATCATTCGTTCTGTAAGCTACGTTTACGCCTTCTTTCTTAAAAAAATGGACAATATTCCTGGTTGGTTCACCCAAGTATGCCAATGTCCTATAACTGACGTTATCGCATCTTGAATATGGGTAGACCAGGTCCATAGCTTGCTTTTGTAATTTTCTGGAAAGAATGGAGTTTATAATATCTACCTTATAACCGTTATTAACCGCGATTTGTTTGATCAAATTCAGCTCTTTCTGGAACTCCCTATCAGACAGTGGAATATTCAATAGTCTGTGCAGCATACTATTGAATGCAGCAACTTCATGCTGGTAAGGGTGTGTGGGGGAATTATGTATGATAATGTCTGTGTACGATGGTTTGTGGAAAATTGCAAATTCATGTTTATTGTTATTTTTCGTGATGGTTAAGTCAAGGTAATTTATTGAGTTATTTACCTTCCTCTCAGTGGTGAATTTTATTGACGGGTGCATGAAATTGGCATATTCAATGAACTTGCCTAATTGCCTATCGGTACCAGTAAAATATACTAAGATATCATCTACGTATCTGTACCAGTACAAAAAACTGTTAGCTAACTGATACCGAGTTTGTTTCTTGAAATTGCAGTACGGTCTAGTTCAAAAAGTATGGCACTTCTTCTCAACTGAGAAACATTCTTTATTAAATATCGTGGCTGTTTCTCATCAGAATGTTGGGATGTACTTCGTAAATTTTCCTCAGATACAGTAGATCAATATTATTTCTCGCATGTTCTGTTCCATAGTCGATTAACCTGCCACGCAAAAAATTGAAGGCGTCGAAGCGATAGTTACACTTGATTACTTAATGATTGGCTGGATAATATAGAGACGACATTCTACCCTTCCATTAATTCAACCTTGGCGATATATCAAGTGGAAAATCGGGACTAGACTAGCTATCAAGGCGACGTTAATTACGCAGTCAACGCAAAAGACCGATGCGGCAACTAGGAAAAATATGTCCCAGGAAAAGGGTGATTTGGTGAGAAATTCCATTAACCTCACTGTACCTTTATTTCATCGAAATGTATTCATTTGACTACGTTTTTAAGGATGAAAAGTGGATTTTTGGTCCAGCAGGAAATTAGATAATGTATATAATAACGATAACGAAACCTATACCATGAAAATATGGAGAACTACATTCCACACCATCACAAATCAACCAAACACACAAATCCACAGAGATCAAAAGAAACTACGGAGAGGCATCTTTTAGGTGGAGGCTCTAAGCGCTTTTGCCTCTGCCTAAATCTCATTTCAAAACTACTGAACAGCGCTACATATGGTTTGCAAATTTAAAACATAACACAACAGGGACCAAACAATGTGCAACAATTTTGTGTGAAAAATGGAATTCGATGCTCAAAAACACTTGAAATGTTGACAGTGACATACGGTGATTGTACTCTGATTCAGAAAAATGTTTACAAGTGGTACAAACTCTTCACAGAAGGTCGACAAGATGTGAATGACGACACTTACTATGGACGTCCCAGCACATCAACAACCGATAGAAATATCGAGGAAGTGAAGAAAATTGTTATGAAGAGTCGTCGAAACACTATTAGAGAAGTTGTTGAGGATGTCAGCATATCGGTTGGGTCATGCCACGCATTTTTTTCGAAAATTTTTGACACGAAGCATGTGGCAGCAAAGTTCGTTTCAAAATTGCCAAACTTTGACCAGAAATATCGAATTGTTGAATGACGGTAACGACAATCTAGATTTGCTCAAAAGGGTCATAACTGGTAACGAATCATGGGTATGTTATCATACGTAAGCCAACGTATTCACCAGATTTGGCCCCCTTTGACCTTTTCCTGTCCCCGAGACCAAAGAGATCCATGAAACGACAGCGTTTTGCGAACTATTGTCAAATATGGAAAATAATCATGAAATAATTCGAATTCATTCAAGTAAATACCGTGTTAGGAATCACACGTCAAAAGGTAAGACCTCGTTAGTCTTTAGCTCGCACAAGTTTCTCAACTTCTGAGAGTTGTCGTTCGTATGGGGGCGACTGCTGATTAACGGAAAAACAGATTTAACACGGTTTTTTTTTCAAACAGACATGAATTGAAAGATCTCGACTTCAATATTCTAAAGTAAAAACACTCAGTATTCATATATGATGGAATCGGCCGATACTTGATGTAAAACTATCTAGTGAAAATCACACAATAAAGTGTTTTTAGAATACGTTACTTAGTATCCAGAATTACATCTTTCAATATTCCAAGTTCATAGACTTGGAAATTGATACGATCACAGGATATAGAAATATAAAACAATCTCCAAATACGCAAACTTTGCATACTGACTATTTTACCTGAGTACAGTGACTAGATCAAAGTTGCAATGTCGGCGTATAAATCTTCATAAATATTCCTGAAGTATTTTCCCCGCTTCGTTACAATAAATATTTAATCAAGTTTTCAAATGAGTTTTTTCATTATTTGAATGAATGTTTAATGGATGGAACAGCGAATAAAATCCTATTGTTAATAATCGAAGCGAGTACTGAGTTGTGTATTGATCTGAGACTATTTTGAAGGGGACGATATGAAAATTGATGAACAAATGAATGTTTGTTGAGAAAAATGAAAATTCACCTTATTTCATGCACAGACTTCGTACTACTATACTAATAACAGGAAAAATACCCTATTGTTAATACTGAAACAGAGCAATCGTAAAAAAAGTAAAGTGTAGAACTCATTTCGAATGCATTTTCCACTCCCAAGTGACTCATGTTAGAAACTGTTATGCTGTTTTCAAAACTTTTACAATATACTTTCTACAACGTTCCTATACAGCTGAATCTAGCAATTGCCTGCAACTAATTCCCTAGCTAATACCACGACAGACGTTCGATTGTATCTGATAGACATTTATTCAAGTTTTCTCACTGTGAAAACTTTTGCAGATGCTTCTACTTCGTTCAGCTCTGAACGTGATATACGACTTCACACTGTCATTTTGTTTCACAGACAATATTTCAATCAATAAACTATCATACAATTTTGTTAAAAGATCCGAGACAATATATAGGAAATGTCGAAGAGCAGATCATTTCCATTCTGTAGCTGTTTCCATGAAAAGAAGACAAATAGCCCCCTTCTACATTCAATCCATATTGTGTTTGTTGATGAGGCACCGCAACGCACTTATTGCGCTGGAAAAAACCTGCGGTGAGCGCAGTTCTGTTGAATAATTCATACCCATTTTATTCACATCAGGTTTTGCATTTTCTGTTTCGTGGATGTCGGGCATAGGCGTGGAGGAGCCATCGAGCAAATGAGACGAGTGATGTGACTGGCAAAAACAAAAATTTTGTTTTGGGGTAATTGAAAATATTATTCTCAAAAATTAGAGGTTAGGACTCGATATAGATTCACATTCTCAACGTAATACAAGTCGAGTAATTCCGTCAGCATGAAAATTGTGTGTTTGGGATTCAATGAATTCGACGAAGGTCGTTTTTGCCCGGTCCTGATAGGCGATGAGAAAGTTATCCAACTGCTTGAAAATATTATTGTCGATTGGCGAGAAATCTGGGGAGTACGGTGGGTGAGGCAGAACTGAAGTTCAATTGATTCAATTTTTGGACGTTGACTTGTGGAACATGCGGACGAGCGTTGTTGTGGAGCGGAGTCGGACCTTTTCTGTTGATCTTCCACTTCCTGTTGGTCATTTAAAAGAAAATTTAAATATTTGCGTTCATTGATATCCAGAGATTCAAGCGGGTTCAATTATTTTTTTTATATTATTATGATATGTTGTAGTCCGTGTTGAATTCGTTAATTTTCTCTGAAAGGTGGCTAGCATACACATGTTTGTTTGTAGACCCCAAAGTAAGTAGTATTAGTAGTATTTTTTCACTCCCTTTGTTCGTTGCGTTGAATTTTTCATTGAGTATGTACATTGCCACGTCCATGTTTCTCTCCACTATCTAATCACACATTTTTTTCAGCTGGATTCCGTCATGATGACTATATCCGCCCCTTTCTCTTCCGCATCAGGTCTATAGCTTCTCTGCCCTTCTCTAAATTGCCCTGTAATACGGTAAATTCAGTCATACTACGAGATTGTTGCCCCACCCTTCTCCTTCCTCTTTCGCGCCTCCTGTGGCTTTCTATATTCTGCTTTGTGTCCATCTACTTCACACTTATATCATCTTTGTAATCCTTGGTAGTTCTTTATGTGTCCATCTCGCTACATTTATAGCATCTTGACCTTTCCTCTTCTTCGCTACAGTTTTTTGATATATGTCCTACTTTACGACATTTATAAAATTTCTTCACATCCTCCACTGTTCTGATACGCCACCTGCTTCAAATCCTTCCTATCCTTGTCTTCTTCTCCAGTATTTTAGCCACTGATTGTCACTTAATTTTTGCGATAATTTGATTTGTATATCTTCCTCTGCAGCATTTGTTTCCTTGAACAGCACATGTTCTACCTCTTCCTTCGATACTGTGTCATCTATGTCCAGTATCATATTGGTTTGGGTTCTCTGCTTCATATGTAATTACCTTGGCCATACAGCTCAGTTCTTTTGTCATTGCTTCCCGGAAGAGAGCTCTGTTCTTTTCTTCTTTTCCTTTTATTCTGACCTGTACGTTGTCGTTTTATGTTTTATTGATGTTGTCAATAACAATACCTCCTCTATCTACTGTATCCTTCATATTTTTTAATAGTTGGTCGTATGTCATTTGCACTTTTGGTTTCAGGATAAAAACCTCTTCATCCTGCCTTTGTCTCCTTTTTTTCCATCCTGTGTTGTTTTCTCCACTTCATGTTTTCTACCTTCACACATGCTATTTCGCTTGTGCCGTTCCTTCTGGATAGGACCTTCCTCAGATTCATTCTGAGCCTATTTCTGTCAGTTTCTTTCCTCGCCCCCACTGTAGTAACAGTACTAGCAGTAGTAGTAACAGTAGTAGTAGTAGTAATTGTAGTAGTAGTAATTGTAGTAGCAGTAATAGTAGTAGTTTATTTTTTTTCGGAGAGTGGAAAAATCATCTAAAGTAATTCACCTCTCCCCATTTTCCGTCTATACATGGTCCTATGTCTTTTATCAGTCTTCTTGTACAGTTGGCCTTTTCATCGTCTATCTCCCAAAATTGTTGTCATTTCGCAATGATTTGTGACCTTGATAACCCTCTTGGTACCTTGTTCCGTACCACTGTTTCTCTTCTACCAGCAGATCTATTGAAGGGGTTCTTGCAATCATCAGTAGAGCTTTGGTTGATGCTATTCCATATGCACATGCTACTTTTATGGACACTTAGTAATATATTTCTTTATTTTTTCCCACGGCCCATTTCCAGATCGTTGTGCCATGGAGCACGATCGACTAGGCGACTGAGCAGAGTATTCTCCTGTTATCTTCTCGTTGGGCCACCAACGTAATGCATCATCTTGCTCATATTGTTGATGGCTTTCCCTACCTTTTCTGCTATTTTTCTAACAAGCGCTTCCATTTTCATAATTCGGTCCATGTGGATACCCAGATATTGAATGGATTCTTGGTTAAAGATATTTCCTTCAGTTTCCTTCCTGCTGTCAGCAGTACTACCTCTGACTTCTGAGGGGCAAGCTTGAGTTGCTTCGCTGTCATCTACTCGGCTACACCCTTTACAGTTATATTGGAAGTTCTAACCAGACTCCTCATTTTTTTTACCAGCACTGCGGCTAGGTCATCTGCATAGCCTATCAGTTCAACTTCTCCAGGGACCGTCAGATTTACTACCCCATCATAGTATATGGCCCACAATGTGGAACCAATTACGGAGCCTTGTATAACACCACAGGTGATGTTCATTTCTACTTTGTATCTCCCTATCAGTAGCACCCTCTCTTCTGATGTTAGAAGTAACATTGATTTTGACTCTGAAAACTTCATCCCCGGATTATGAAAACATGTTTCCCTTATAATGTATCTATAATAATGAAGTAAAATTTTCACTTTGGTTTTTTTCTCCTATTTCCGGAAGTCAGCTTCATTTACATGATGCCAGCAGCAGAAGAGTCAACGATAACAGAAAAACCTATTACACCGAAGCGAATGATGCATGAGACGCGCGAAAAACAGTTTCAGCTGTGGGTGGCATTTCATTAAATGAAATTTAACATCCCTCTTCATGAGGCGGGGAATTTTATGATGCATTCTGTCGCCCAGTTTCGACATAACATGGAAAACATTTCAGTCGCACTCGCGGAAAGTAAGGAGTTTTCCAAACTCCCCACTTTGATATTACTGTGGATGAAATTGGCTTGCGGTCGTGTAAAGTTTCGAATGTTCGAAACTTGTGGTGTTGCTAGGTTAGTTCAATTGACCAGACATATGAAAATCATAGCTTATCTTCCTTACATATGCTATTATTGAGTGGGAGAAGTTTGCAGCTTGGAATTAGTTAGTTTTCAATGAACGTTTATGAATAGATTATTGAGGTAGATCATAAACAGATCTCAGAAACCTGTACTTTTGTATATTTAGCTGTTTCAATTATTTCTGACAATGAATTCGTGCGAAATCTATGTAAATAGAATGTTTATATCCGCTGCAGCTTTTGCTCATTTCAGTTGTTTCGTTCTTCCTCTCTTCCCAACTTATATTCATATTTATCTGTTTGGAAGATTTGCGTCATACCTTCAGGTTTACATTCCTTTAGGAAGTCAATTATAATGATTGACAATGTTTCATAATGAATTTCACTAGTTCGGACTTCCATTGTCTACTATATAAAATGATTTGAAATCCCTGAAACAACTAAAAAAGAAGAATTGAAAATGAATTCTTCAGAATTATTGAAAGCAGTAGAGTATACAATGTTTCCTTTGATCTCATTCAGGTTTGTACTTTTCAATAACATTTTCAGCGTTTCTATCTTCTATAGTATCCTCATACCTCTGTGTATTGATTCCTCTATTTGGCCTCAATGTATTTTCAAGTTTTTCATTCAACTTCCTTTCCAGAATTCATGCAAAAGTCTCTTCAATTTCCTAGCTGAGGTTACTTCTTTATGATTACTATGTTGCCCCTGTCTCCCCTTTTCCCTTAATCCGTGTTATAATTCAAATCAGGCAATCTATTGGTGCCTCTTCCTTTTGAACTTTATTGATACATTTTTCTCTCTTTTGTATAATCGCTTCTGGCGCTTATTGTCTTTGTCGGATGCTTCTTTATTTCATTCAAACTTATTTTTTTTTCTCCACTCATCTTCTCAGTAAACTTGTGGAAAGATATATATCGGAACCACCAAAAAATATATGGGAACAAGGCTGAAGGGGATTTTAATAGGCAGATTTCTTATTTTCCTATTCTGATCTCCAAGAATATTACTCACAAAACTACAATTCACTATAAATTCTGTATAACTGTTATTCAGAGATTCACTTGTTATTTTTCCAATTCTTTTAATTTTTTTAAGTGAGAAATAATGAATATCAACTATAAAAAGATTCACAGTACCTCCATTGAAAGAGTAGAGCTGAACATTATTTGAAAATGTTTACTTTTACTGATCAAATTGAAAGTTTATTTGATGTTTCTATTGAAACATTTTGCAAAAAGCATATATTGATAATGAAAAGTGGCATCAGTTTGAAGCTCAGCAGAAAAAACTAAATGATGTGTTGGATATTGAAACTCACCTGTATAATTTTGAGTATGAGCGTTGTATTTTGGAAGTCGTATTCCAAAGAGAAATGAATTTGTCCAACGTTTTCTGAAGGTTCGGAGTTGTCAATGTACATGTCCACCAGTGATATTGAGCGGTTCTGAAGAAAGGCCATCTGGAACGAAAGAACATTTCAACAGTCCGAAATTAGCAAATTAATTTGAAATTGCGCGAAAAATATGTATCTGTGCAATTTACAAAACCGAAACACGTACATTACTATACATTACTTTCTTCAAATATGTTTAAAAATGAACAGTTAACTATTAGTAGTAACGAGGTTATTGTACAGTGATATATAATCCCTTAAAATATGGTTTGACAGTCAAATGAGTATTCTCAAAGTATGAGACTGAAATATAACAAACGAATAGTCAGAATCCCACCGCTCTCTGTTTAACAAACATGTCAATTGTTCATTAGATGCAGTGTACAGATGCGGAAAACAAATATCGGAACATACGAATGCCAATGCATTCTGGATAGGATCCGTGGTAGCAGCAACAAATTCATCGAAGCAGAAAGCGAAATTGTCTATCCTGACATTATTATGTCTGGTTCAGAGACATTTATTTTTTTGAAGGAAACCGATGCCTGGATTTTCGTAGCATTGAATCGAACCTGGTTACTTCCACCTCAATTCGAAATTACTTCTTGATCCTCATCCTGCTGCCGATGTCCTGGAATCCAAATGAAATGACAAGATAATTAGCTACAAATCTTGAACGATCTGAACAAATGGTTATTTTAGATAATTAAATCTTGGTGAATTAGGAAAAATTCAACTTTGTGCAAGCATTACGCATTACTGAGTGATGTGGGATTATCTCTACAACACAGATTTGGCTATTGTTTGGCACAACAAGGTTTATTCGAACCTTTATTCCATTAGGTTTGACGTTTTTTTCTTGAGTTACATTTCACTTCAGTTTTCAGAACTATATGTTACGTTATTTTGAGTTTTGGAGAACATTTTCAGGTTATATTTCATTTGAAACGTGATATATTTTATTTTTGAAGCCGTTATGGCACAAAATCATCTAATTATCGCAGCAAATGCTTTGCACCACTCTACATCAACGTAGAATGGTTCAACCTAATAGTTGAAATTTATTTCAAAAAAATCTCTAACTTCAAACTGGTCGACTGCTCTCGCAGACTCCCTCCATAATACAATAAACTGGTCGACTTTTATTGCAGAATACACATTGGTATTCGTATGTTCCGATATTTGTTTTCCGCATCTGTACATTTCCGAAGTAAATAGGAGAATTTCCATCCTAGAAGTAAAACTATCACACTGAACTTCCTTTATTAATATTCTTGTGTCAGTGACACTTGACTTTTGACAAACGTAGACTACCCTGTATATTTTCACTTTATGCTAGTTAGAAGAGTGTTTATGATGAAACATCCGCGGGAGAATAAAATTCTAAGGAAAACACATTTTACGAACTTGAAAACATTAATTAATTTCGGTCAATTAATTGCCTACATTATTTACAAAAACCCTCGCGCAATGAAGAGAAAGAATGTAAGTGGACTTTTTCAACGAAAATTTAATTAAACAGTAATTTGTGATCTGTAAATTAATTGAATTTAGTGAGAATTTCCATTTAAAACTAATTTGCGATTCAATGGACTTCAAAGAGAGTAAATTAAAAGGAAAATAAATGTCCATCAAGGATACTGAATCAATTTGACTCTGCTAGTTGGATACAATTCACATGAATTATTCATGTATTTGGGAGTCATGAATATGAGGTGGCAATCAAGTCAAGATTGACATTATTAGTCGGTTGATATGACACAAAGGACTGGCTGAAAAATCGAAATTTTTCTTTTGTTTTTCTAATCATATTAGATCAAACTGATCTTTCTCTGATCTTCCACAACACTAAACACTTATTTAAACACCTCGACACGCGTTTCGATCAACAAGTGATCATCTTCAAGAGAAAGATCAAACTGATCTTCCTCCAAATGTTCTGGAAAACGTTCAAAATTTTGACAATTACAAACAAGTAAAAATGTCCGAAAAAAAGTGTAAATTTTATGAAATAGTGTGAAGTTATATCATCAGGTGTATTTTCACAGGTAGTGTGAAAAGCCCTTGATATTCGATACTTTGATAGCCAGAATTGTCATTAAATGATTTAATGAAAACGTTTTTTTTTCACCACTAGAACTAGGGCGTCTTTTCTCGACGCGCATTTTACTAATCCATTGAGTATTATCAGGGGATTATTAAAACTGAGCAGTAACTCGATTGACGGAATTTACATCCAACGAGTGGCATTATTGAAAAAAAAAGGATTTCATGTTTTGTTTAGTATCAGTTATCCAGATTCTAATTGCCATCAACAAAACAGTGAAGTAGTTATTCCAGAAAGAAAAATAGTAGGTGTATTGCATAAAACGAGAAATGAATATGACAAAAAACAAGTCCAATAATACTTTTCCCAATAATGGAATGACTAGTGTTACCTCAGTTGTAAAAAAAGTTCGTGGTGTATGGAAAAAAAGTCATGAATAATGAATTCAACTTTTCGTTTGGGATGACAGAATCATTATCAGTAAAAGTGAGTTTGTTTTGAACTATTGGAACTTTTATGAGAAATAGAATCCAAGTTTGTATTTTTGAGGTTGAAAAGCGTCAATCCTAAAGCAAAATAGAAAATATGCCTGTTAACTATTTTCAAAGAATTTTATTGAATTGAGTCCTTTGGTAGAAATATATCTAATGTACCTTCAAAGGAATACCAGAACTTCAGTGTCAATCTAAGTTCTTCCCTGAAGGACATGATCAAATGAGATCAGAAACTTTTGTGATTCAAGTCGACATTTTGGTGCAATAAAAACCAAAACTTTTAGTCAAAAATGAATCTGATACAATAATTTCTCCAAGTTGTTATACATAGAATTTTCAGTTTGATCTTTCAAGAGTATTCACTATATTTTTCCACTATATATTTGATACACAGGACTTGCTGTGAAAATACGCAGACATGGTTTGAATTTAGTTTTCCTATACATCTTTTTCTATATTATCTATCTACAGTAACATCTGCCTTTTACAGTAGCAATACAAGTACAACGTTAAACATTTCAACATCAAAGCATTCAACATTAATTGCAACATCAATAAGACACATAGATATATGTATACTCAAATTCAATAGAGTACAGAATGATTATATAGAGGATGTCCTAGAACTTACGCAAAATTTGATTGGAAAAGAAACACAGTTTTTAGTATCTTCATCGTTTATTTCCACTGTTTTGTTGTTTACATGACCATTTTACATGATGCAGAGTTCAATTTTTCCCTTTCAATGCATACGTGAGTGTGGGCTTGTTTTCCTTTGTTTTCAAATAACCCTATGGAAAAAATCTAAAGGTGTTAAATCACACGATCTAGGGAGCCAATTCTGATCAGCAAAACGGGGGAGTACACGACCTGGATCTGTCTCATGGATTATTCGAATTGGTTCATGATCTGAATGACATGTAGCCACATCTTGTTGAAATCAACCAAACCAAAATCATCCAATTTTGGCACAAAGAACTGTGTAATCACGAGGCGATATCGTTCATCAGTTATAGTCACTGCCATTGTCTAAAAAGTATGTTCAAATGATGCCTCCAGCCCAAAATCCACATCAAACAGTGGAGATGGAGATTAACAAATCCATCAGGATGAGAACCGTGAGATAACTGTGTTAGGAATCACACGTTGAAAGGTAAGACTCGTTAGTCCTTAGCTCGCACAAGTTTCGACTTCTGAGGGTTGTCGTTCGCAGGGGTGCGACAGCTGGTTAACGGAAAAACAGATTTTAAACAGATTTTTTTTAACAGATCAAGATGAGAATGTGTTTTCAATGAACTCTCTTTGCTGTGTATGGCCAACAGGTTTCAGCTGCTGTGTTAAATTAAATGCATTTGGTAGGCATGAAGTCCCATATCTTGAGTGAGTATACGATGTAGAGATCTTCCCACAACTCGCAATTCTTGTCCACAATGCCGAAATGATGTATATGGATTTGCAACAACAGTCTCCCTGAATTTCTCAGTTAATCTCTCCAAAGTTCATGGAGTAAAAACACTATTTCAACTATATTTTGTATAACATTTTACATCTGCGGCCCCCAAACTTTCTTTATCTTTCCGATAATATTCAACAATGAAGACACGTTGTTCTACCGTTGAACGTTTCATTTTTACTAACCCTAAACTGCTAGCTGACAGCTGTCCTTTTATTGTTGTCAGCACGTTACCGCAGAAATGGCGGCAAATTTAAATTTTGGGCTAGCTCTGGATTACTCTTCATTTCAAAACATTTAATCTAGATAATAATTATTTCAATGAACGTCCATGGAAATATTTCCCTGAATTCACTTATTATTCGAACTGAATTTGAGGTTATGAGAAACCTGATGGATATTTCATCCCAGAAATTGAATGATTTTTATGACAGAAACTTAATCTCGGTTACGGACATTTTATTCCACTTGGGAATCAAGCACCATTACTACAGAAGTCATTGGGCTTTATTTTGTAAACGCAGGGGACTTGAATCCCAGGTGGAAGAGGAAAAATTTTGATCGTCCACTTGTTGAGTTGAAATGAGACAATACGGATGGAATAATGAATAACTGTGTTTCTCTGGGGAAACGGGAAAAAACGCATTGGAACAACTTGGCTATAAAGAACCTCGCTGAGTGTTATTCTCATCTTGGTTGCAATCAACAGTGTCATTGATGACTGTGCTGCCCCTCTGAAAGCTAGACTTTTTGCAGATGATCTATTTGTTTTTGGCAAGGGCAAAAATTTCAAAACTATTTATGGATATTTACATAATTTCATTTATAAATTACAAGAAAGGTCAGAATTATCAGGCCTAAGGATATCTGAGAGCAAGACAAATTGTATCCATTTCACGAAAAGATCCAAAGAAAATTTGCCTAAATTACAACACAACAATAAAGATATTGAGTATGTCAAACATAGAAAACTTCTGGGTACGATATTCGATCAAAAACTTAACTGGAATGAGCACATTAGATACCTGAAAATATGACTTGTCAGAGCGGTCTAAACATAATGAAACTATTGCATCTAGATCATGGGGTGCAGATAACAAAACTCTCAGTTCTTCATCGCCGTTATGACAATCCGACACAACAGGCAGTAACATTCGATAAACTGAATTATTATAATTCTTTGAAACACAACAAACATTCTTACAAGCTAATAGTAGAGATAGAAAAACAGATCATGCTTACATCCTGGCTTACCGATGGATGATCCCCCTTGACATTGTGAAGGGCCTTGTTCGCTGCATATTCATAGCATAATACAATATCCTTGAATGTATATTCATGAAATATTCTTGGAATATCTATTGCTATGTGGGTATATACGTTCTGGTGGGCCACCCTGTATTACTAACTCAACACAATCCTTATCAAGGACTCAGAACATCGTGGACATGAATTCGATCAGTTACGGGATTTCTCGTTCCACGAATAATACGTAGAATATTCATCAATTGTTCAGTCGAACTTTATTGGAAAATTAGTTACTGAAACTGCCTACTGCAAGCTTCCAGATCGTCGACAGTTGTTGGAGTGGCAAATGAACTCTCTCAAATTAGCGCCAAAGTTATTACAGCAACTCAAATATTCATTTTCAGCACTTCCTTGAGATATACCTCAGAGCTTGTTCAATTCTCTCAAGGATTGTTTGTAATCAACGACCCTTTCTGAAATGAGTGTTTCAGCATTCAATGAATCTGATGAAAGTCAAGTGCTTTGTAATCTGAGAGAGAACCTGCCTAGGGACCTGTGCGACTGTATTTCAAACGGAAATCTATGCTATTGAATTGTGTGCGGAGAGATTGGTAGAATCTAACCTCACACACAAGTTATTAAAAATACTCTCGGACAGTCCAGCGGCGTTGAAAGCTCTTTGCTCCTACCGAGCTACGTCTACATTGGTAGCAAATTTCCAAAAACGACTCTCCTCAAGAGGAAGATTCAACAAATTTTCTCTTGTCTGAATTCCTGGTCTGGAAGGCAATGAGGCAATGAGGTTTTGGTCCGGTGAAGTAGCTTCACCGGACCAAAACCTGTCATTGGTATCGTTTTAGGTTTTGCCAAACAAGACACATGGATGGCAAGAAGACTCATGGACTTCTGGCAGAATCTTTCAGGATTGGCTCACTCCAAGGCGTTCATTCATCTTTCGAAGATTGACACCAAACAGTTGTTGAACTACAGTTGGGATGAACTACGATGTCTCACAGGCCTCCTCACAGATCAATGTCGTCTGAGACAGCAGCAGAGACTTGGGCTGTCGAAAGATAGTGTATCGTCTCTGATGAAACAGCTGCCTGCCTGCCTTGCTGCGGACGGAATCAGATTTCCAGAGTTTGGAAGAATCACACTCCACCATCTAACCTGAAATATCACTCACATATAAACTGAACGGCTAAACCCATGTGGGTTGCGGTGGAGGGTTGAGTAGACCTACCCACTAGTAATCTAAACTGACCTAACCTAATGTGAAAGAGATTACTGAAAAGTTTGACTTGAGTCATCCATCCTTGCTCAGTTATTAGTTTGTTCCAATCCATTGTGAAAATATATTGAATTCCATTCACTAGAAACTTTCTGAAGTACCTTTTGTTCAATGACGAATCCACATCTGGAACTAACTGAATGGTAAGAAGACACAATTACTACTACTACGCTATGAAATATCCTCATTGCATTGGAGGAGTTGATGACCAGAATACTTGATCGATGGGTGTTTGCTTAGGGAACGTCATTGATGTTCACATTATACGATCATCTTTTTACTTTGGACCGTGTTCATATATGACGGCTCGTTTTTCCATAACAACAATGGGAATTATTTTGAAAACAGGATCAATTTTTCTTAAAAATTGATCCTGTTACCTAAACAACCCCTCTTTTCCAGAAAAATTATTGGATCACTGAACTAGTTAACTGAATGGGAATTATGTTGGAGATGTTTAGCAAGAGAAATGATTGACACCAGAAGATACAAAGAAAATTTTTGAAGAGGGAGAGGACTAGTAAGAAAAAACAATTGCACAAAGAATAAAATGAAAGAAATCGTACTTTGTAATATATGGAACAAAGCCACCAAATGGTGTTAGTTACAACATTCATAACAAACTCATGGACCGATTTTTTGAATTGGTCACCGCCGGTAATAGCGGAGCAACTATTGAAACATTTGAAAATTTAGGAATATATATTGAGGATTGAACAAATCGATAACTTCTGGTTTGTTGGGTGATGAGAGTTGTTTGGGTGTGCCCAATGACAATCCAGATTATAATTATGATGAGTGATTTTTTTACTTGTATTTTTTTGGCAACACTGTTTTTGACAGATCACGCGTGAATCGTGTCTTGTGCCATTGTCACACTTGTTCAGTTAGGTCTATAATTTAACCATGAATCGACTTACGAGTGAACAACGCTTGCAAATTATTGAATTTTATCTTCAAAATTCATGCTCGGTGAAGAAAGTGCATCGCGCACTTCTTCCAATTTATAGGCAGTTTCGTCGGCCCTCTGAGGGAACTATTCGGAAGCTTGTGACTGAATTTCGAACCCAGTTTACATTATTGGACATTAAACCACCAACACGCATACGTAGAGTGAGGACCGAAGAAAATATTGCGGCTGTATCCGCCAGTGTTCGTGATGACCGTGAAATGTCGATTCGCGGCCGTTCGCAGCAATTGGGCTTCTGTTACTCCACTACGTGGAAAAGTTTGCGAAAGGATTTGGGTGTCTAACATTTGGTGAATGGGCGCAGGCAAAGTTGGAGAAAGATCCACATTTTTATCGAAAAATTGTGTTCAGCGACGAGGCTTATTTCTGGTTGAATGGATACGTTAACAAGCAAAATTGCCGCATCTGGAGTGAAAACCAGCCACAAGCATTGCAAGAGCTACCGATGCATCCCGAAAAAGTCAGTGTTTGGTGTGGATTATTGGTCGGTGGCATCATCGGGCCGTACTTCTTCAAAGACAACAATGGCCGGAACGTTACTGTGAATGGCGAGCGCTACCGTGTTTTTGTTGCCCAAAATGGAAGAATTGGACATGCCTGACATGTGGTTTCAACAAGATGGTGCCACATGCCACACAGAACGCGAAACAATGGCCCAATTAAGAGTCGCCTTCGGTGAACAGTTTATCTCACGTTTGGGGCCCGTCAATTGGCCGCCTAAATCGTGTGATTTAACGCCTTTGGATTATTTCTTTTGGGGACATGTTAAGGTTCATGTCTACAGGGATAAACCAGCAACGAATGACGTTATGGAAGCCAATACTGAAGCATTTATACGTGAAATACCGGTCGATATATTAGAGAGAGTGTGCCAAAATTGGACCATGCGCATGGGACATTTAAAGCGGATCCGCGGACAACATCAATTTTTTAAATTTTTTGTGTTGTTTTGAAAATCAAATCCTATACATCCTATACATCACCCGGTAATAACGTTTGTACTCGCATGATTTGTTAAGTCATAATAGAAGCAAAGTCAGCAATAACTTTCTTAAGGAAGAAATTGCAATATATTACACTGTCATTTCCAATGCCGTGAGCGAGAAGATCAAATCTTTGGAATATTTCTAATCAATATTTACTGCAGATGAAGAAAAAATCGCACGAGAGAAGCGCTGATTTCAGTGTTGCCAGTATTTGAATATATCTGCAGTTCAGACTGCCGCACTACTATCCTTCTATAGGAATGTAGGCTTTCACGGCTGACATCAATGTTTTGGTTGGTTTCCGGGTTTCGCTGTGGTCTTCTTTGGCTACAATCTCCAAACGTTTCAACTGCAACTCCGACAGTCATCCTCAGTGGCGTGGTCGAAATACTTTTCTTGAAGTATCAACTGAAGCTGAAGCTCTCATTTCTGTCATGTCTTTTATAGTGCTGATTTCTCACGCACTTTCTGTAATGGCGGGTTCGCACGTTCTTCCCGCGCGATTTGGATGACATGACTTCGTTTTCGCGCCTCTGAATGCTGGGTGCCAGATCTTTGGTAGATATGTTCTCTCTTCCTTTCTGTTGAAGTTCTCTTGGTGTTTGTGTAGTTCTTTGGCTTCTGAATACATTCTTGTTGAAAAATGACGCGCCGTTGCTAGTCTGCCGGAAACGGCAGATCACGTGATTGATAGATGTATGCTTGGTTGATTTGAATGGATTTCTGCTGTCATATTTTGATTTCAGATACTTCGATATTTTTTTTGTTGGTTCGAAGACGGTGTTAATATTCTCCTCCCTTAGAATTTTCACGACTCGGTTGGTGCCGTTGGTGCTCGGTTTTCTGCCGTAGCTGTTCGCTTGTAACACAGTTGTTAGGTGTTTTATTCCATAGTCAACATACCTTTCTTCACATATTCTCAAAGCTCTGTTCACTAGGGTGTTGACGACGGTTCATTTCTGTTTTGAATGATGGTTGGATCCATTATGTAGTTATCGATCTGTGTGTATTTTTTTCCTGTATACCTTATGGCCTAGTTGATTACCTTACTTGATAACTAAAATATCAAGTAATGGGATTTGGAGGTGTTTTTATAATTCCATGGTGAACTGGATTTTTGGATGAAAGCTATTCATATGATTCAGGAAGTTCTGAAGTTCTTCTTTTCAAAAGCTCCAAACAACGAATGTGTCATCTACATACCTCAACCAGGCAAAAATGCGAGCTTCAGTTTCAGTTGAAGAATAGTATTTCAGCCACGGCAAAACCCGGAAACCGATCAAAAGATGATATTCTTCTGTTGAAGAGTAAACAATCTATCGATGATTCAATTTACTTTCATTTATAATCATCAAATGACTGTGAATAGTGAAAATTGACATGTGTGGAGTAAGGAAAAGAGGAATGTTGAAAAGGTTTTCCAATAAATTCATTTGGATGATGACTTTCAGTCCATTGGGATGTGTATAATCATCAAAAATGTGTTTATTCTGTGGTTTATATACACCTGTGTATTATATTTATGAACTTGACGAATTCAAAGTGTTCTACTTCTCTTTCAACAATGCCAACAATTGTATGGAATAATTTATTTCGATGAACTGTGGCTATGAATTTGTTCTGTAGTGAGTTCATTTGGAAATTGAAATGAGGAAGCACAACATCCATTCATTATGCCATGTCTGCAGACGAATAAGCATTCTCATTTGAATTTAAGCTACTCGTTTCCAACTTTATGCTAATAACCAATTCAACTCTCAAAACTTGGTGGAGAACATGCTTGATAGATGAACTGTTATTCCACTTGAAGTATAATAATTTCGTTTGGCTTGTCTTTGCTGGGGGTCGAACAAAGTGGATTTTTTCGTTTGAAGTTCGAATTTGTGTTACTTCGTGTTGGAAAGTACCTGCAAAAACTGAATCATTCAGATATTCAGAATGGCTGAGTTTTGGGGGTATCGAGTTCCAGTGATTCATGTAGATACAAAACAACAAGCTGGGCCCCCTTGGAACGGCTTCTCTAAAAGTCTACACTTGTTAACTGAGAATTATTGAGGTCTTACTTCTCCATTGAGTTCCATCAAACATATTGCTGTCAACAACGGTTATAAGGCGAAACTCATCTTTTCCATTCTTTCCAAGAAAATTCGAATACAAAAGTCATCAACTAGGTCTATCACACTTCAAGAAACCATAGTGAGCGTTGAAGGACATTAACATACTTTGGTGATTGGTGAACTCGCCAATGATATAATAATAATGATAATAGTAGAATTCACAGCTACAGATAATAATAGTAATACATCGTATTTCATATGGACGATCTCAAACTGTATTTGTATGTATGTAGAGAAGGATCTCCATCAGTTCTTGAGAGTGGTGGAAGAGAACACACATGCTATCGGTATGAAATTCGGGATAGACAAATGTGCAATGGTCCATCTAAAAAGAGGACTCCGGGGACTACGGAGAGGATGTGCAGCTCGAAGATGAAAGCATCCTACACCATCTGGATGCCGGAGAAACGCATACTTACCTCGGGGTGGTATAACGCCACTTACAAGAGGTAACAGCAGTGAAGAACTCTCTCCGCGGCATGCATCAGCACAAACTCCGACAGATCTGATCATCAGAACTGTTGGGGAAAAACAAAGTTGCTGCAACAAATATGCTTGCCGTTCCAATCTATGGTTGTAATTCCCCCCGATAACAGGGAGGCCGTGGACTTTTGAGTTTGGAGAATCTACATGACAGAAAGGTACTGGATGTAGCGTGAGAAGTCGTCAGGAGTTTGGATTCCCTTCTTGGCATAGTCCGCGACCATGAGATATCAGTATTTGGGGCATGTCTCTTCAGGGCAGCTGCCCGAGCAGCTGATGATCTCGGTTCAGTTTTCGACACTGAGGAGATCAGAACTCTGTCACTGAGTTGGAACTTGTTTAGCAAAAACCACATAGATCACCTCACTTCTGCAGAAACACAAGGATAAGCCAATGCATGGGGTCTTCTTCAATAACATTGGAGACCTTGGCTTATCAAAGCGCCTGACGTTCGCTTTTCTCAGGTCGAGTGGGCTGAAGTCGGAAACTGGGGGGTTCATCATGGCTTGCCAGGATGGTATCTTCAACAGTTTAGTCTACCGCAGTCGTGTGATGGGTATAGAGGTTCCTGACTCAAGGTGCAGGGCGTGCCGTGAGGCGTCCGAGACTTTAATGCAGTTGCTATTAGCAAGTCCAGCATATGCGGTCTCGGCTTATATCCATCGACATAACGCGGCCATAAGAGTGTTGTATTACCATCTACGGTACTCTTACGGTATGGACGAGACATCAGTGTTGCCCTACGCTCCAGGGGATATTGAATCCGTTGTGGGGAACGAGAAGTGTCGAATTTATTGTTACTATTCGTTCCCTACCCTCAGGCTCATGCAAGCTGATAAGCCTGATGTCGTCCTTCTCGAACACCAGAGCAAGACGATATTTCTCGTCTAGTTTTCAGCTCCTGGCGAGACGAATATCTTCGGAAAATAGAAGGAAAATCGGATGAAATATCAAGATTTTCTCTTAGAACTCCGCAGACTCTATCCAGACAATTCTGTCAAGATGGTTGTTCTGATTATTGGCGTCCTTGGTAGAATTATGCCCTCTCTTGTTTCGAATTTTAAAATTATACCGGCTTGCCGAACAGAGGCAGAAATCTTAGCCGGACAGATGCAGAAGGCTGCCATTCTCGGCTCACTGCGCATGCTCAAGGCGCATGATTTCCGGACCCAATGGTCACTTACCTCACGGTGTGGGGATTGGTCGTTGGTTGATAATGCTGGCGCGCCCTCCCGAATGTATCGAGGCTTCGGGGGATAGGGCCTGACCAGCGCATACTTCGGTAGTAAACAATAGTGATAATAATAATAATATTTATGATGATTCTCTGATCACATACGAGAAAAAAGTAAAAATATCAGGTTATACATAAAAGTAACACATGTTATTTGTGTTTGGTATGAGAAATATGAAAAAAAAGGAATAACAAAAGCTCAATCTGGAATATTTAGAATGAACAGAATGAAATTTATGGAAAACAAAACAGAACAAGGTGATACGATTAAATCGAGTGGTGTAGTTATGGCTTGGTCAGGACAATGTTTCCTCTTCTTTATATCAGTTCAATACCAGTGACTTGTAAAACAGCTGTCTATAGTATAACAATTTTCAATTGAAGGTAACTCAAATATATTTCGAACTGAGAGGTAACGGCAACAATGTTAAATGTTAGAACTAAATTCTTACCGCGGTCATTTTTATTGTCTTTGCATCGCCATTGTATATAATTGAAAAGTGAGATGATTCCATAAAATTTGCCCCCGTAACAAGATAGCTTCTGAATATCGATAGGATGTACGAGCGAATAGGTGGACCAGTTCGTTGAATGCTTTGAAACATCGGTGAACTGATCAATATTTCGCAGGTCTATTATATTTGCGTCCTCAAAATGCCATGAATAGTAATTCGGTTTCTTCATTATCAAGCGTCCATATCTGCATAGGCGTAGCGTGTTCTGTTTCTTGTGAAGGTGACTTTGTTTTGTATTTATTGAATATATTTTATTACATTTATTAAATAGTCTGTTATTTATTAACTTTAAATTATAAGATAGAGTTGGCCGATACTTGTTTTTCAAAATACATTATCATAGATTTTCATCACATTCACACTTTATTGTGAGATAATTAGTTGACCTAGTCATTAAACTCAGGTATAAATGTTTGTTAAACCCAGGTATAACTGTTATTCATTAGTTCCTAGAACATTATTAGTTTCTAGGTAGATAGTAATATTTCTGTGTCGACAATTGAACGCATTGTACGTGAAAAAAAGGTGACTGGGATTGTGCAAGCTCCAAAAGTACATTGTCGTGGTAAAAAAAATTGAATTGGACGAGTACCAGAAAAATTTTGTACGCTATACCATTCATTTTTTTTGAGAATAAAGCGCTGACCCTCGAATCCATTAGGACAAAGGTACTGGGTAATGATCTCATTCCAAAAATGAGCAAAGAGAAGTTAAGGAAAATAATAAAAGAAGATTTAAAATTTACATATGCCAAACGATCCCGTAAATCTGTCTCAATAGAAAGAGAAGATATAGTCACATGGCGATGGAGATATCTTCGCTCAAATAGAGAAATGCGTTCTGCTCACAAAAAGATTCATTATCTGGACGAAACGTGGGTGAATGCTGGTCACACAGTATCTTTGATCTGGCAAGATACTACTGCAACTAGTTATCGTCAAGCATTTGTGGACGATTTATCAACAGGGTTACGCGGGTCAACGGGTAAAGGGAAACGACTAATTGTCGCTCATATAGGTAGCGAGAGTGGCTTTTTAGACGATAATGCACTAATGTTTTTATCACGATTATCACGATTATCACGAAGACATGGACGCCCAATGCTTTTTCTTTTAACAGCCGATTAGTAGAACAGCTGCCAACTATGACCACCAGAAAAGCAGACATGCAGTGTTGGTTAGGACAAAAAGGAATTCCATTTTCCGAGGAAATGGTTAAGGCCGAGCTTATGAATGTCATTAAACAGCATCGTGACAGATATCGCCAGCTCATGGTGGACACAATAGCTCCTGCTAAAGGCATAACTTACCATTCCTCCTTACCATTGCGAGTCAAATCCGATAGAATTAATCTGGGCTCAAATGCTCAAATTAAGGGTTACATAGTTCGTGAAAACGTGACATATAAAATTTCTGAAGTCCGTTTATTAGAACTCGCAATGGAACGGATACGGAAAGAAGATTGGGCTAATGCTGTGTGATCATGTGATCAAGGAAGAAGAGAAAATGTGGAGATTGAACGGGATGGTAAACACTGTTTTCGACCAAATAATAATAGATTTAAGTGTGACTGGGAATTCCTCTTCGGACGAGTCAATGGAATCTGAAACTTCATGAGCATAACATTGTAGTAGGAATAATTATTTGTGAATTTTTCTGTTTCTTTGAAGTACTGTATTAGGCATGATAAGAAAATGTAATCAGTTTCACCATTGACACCAGATAGCGCCACCTACTATGACAATTTTCACGTAATTACCTATGTGGTACGTCTCTGCAGAGTTGGTAAGAGGATTAGCCGTTGGTCACTTCAAATGCGACGTTGGTGATGAATCACCTTCAATTGAAAATTGTTATAGTATAGGATCGAATACCGTACACAATCCTATCATGCAGTATATCAAATAGCTTCGTACCAGGCTGAAGTGAACTATATTTTTTGTTCAACTTCAAGTCCATCTTTTCCTAAATACTTCATATAGTTAGCTGGAGCTATCTTGAGAAGAAGTTTTGGGTAGTTATTCAATTGAATTGAGGAAGAGTAGATTTGTTTTTTACCGAATGGCAAGAGATAGGTTTTGCTGAAGTTTAATGAAAGTTGTCTATGGTCGAACNAAGCCACGTATGTTCTTTTTGCTCTACTCTGTAGATGAGAGTTCCATGTTAGCTTCTTGTCGAGGATAATACCAAGGTATTTCACCTCTTCAGAGAAGTTTAGTTGGCTTTTGAAGATATCGGGAGGTTTTAAGCCCATTAAACTTCTTTTCCTGGTGAAAAGGACCATCTCAAGACCTCAGACCAAGATTGCTCAGAGTGAAGAACAACAGTAACGTCTGCAAAACTCATTATGCGTCTTGTGGTTCAAATAGGAAACAATCCGTTTTCATAAATACTGAAAAACAACGGACTCAGATTATTTCCTTGCGGCACTCCACACTCGATTTTCTTGCCACTTGTTTTCATATTCCTTATTTTCACAATCTGTTTCCTATCTGTGAGATATAGGTCTCTATCAATACATATGCATTACCTTTTATTCCAATATTATCCAGAGTGCATAGTTGAATGTGTTATTATTTTCATAGTTCCAAGTTTCATTTATAGTGTTAACACATTTCATTGTTGAACGTTGTTATCCTCTCAATCAGAGGAATTGAAAATATTCAATCAAAAATATAAATGAACCACCAGATTTCATGGAAATTTCCATGACATTACTCTATGAACCAAAAAACTAATTACTGAGTAAATATGCAACATTCTTCAGAACTCATGAATATTGTTGATCTTGATCACTCCTTCTTCATGAATAATAATTGTGAACTGATAGATTCACATTCAACTTCTTTCGACTTTTCAATTACTATGAAAGAGAAATATCTAAATAAAAACAGCCATTGTCTACGTAGCTTAAGCACTTACTCTAATTGCGCTCTGTAAGTTGGAACGACGTCGACCATCACCAGCGAGTCGTCGGGAAACAGCAACATGGAACAAAGAGAGAATATAATTAGAATCATTAAAGACAACTATTAAATTATTTTCTACATATATTTCATGAAAATTACAGAGCTGAACCAGTTTTATTGAAACAGTAATTACATTTAGAATAAGTACACCACATTAAATACAATAGAAACATTAATGAAATATTAAAATATGCACCCTCAAGTATTCATTTTCAAAAGCTTGTGGCATAGAATGTTGAAAGTCATAAATAAATAGACACTCATTTACAGACTAATTCACATTAAGTATTACTTTTTTGAAATATTCTCGATGTTTTGCCTTAAGACACTTGCCACAAGGCTCTTCAGTACCAAATTGGATAACATAGAAAATACACACACTTCATTCATGAATTACGATTTTTAATGTCACGGAATAAGCTTGATCTGCTTATGTCATCGATGACATCATAATATAATTCATTCACCTATTTGATTCAATCCCAGACAAGAGGAATCTTATTTGAATTGAAAGGGTTATATTTTTAGGAGTGTTTAATTTTTGGGATGGATGGAGTAGTAGAAAGCCAAAAACTTTCTTTCCCAAAAATTAAACACTCCTAAAAATATAACCCCTTCAATTCAGAATTGAATTCTTCTTGGTAGTGAGTTTATTACATGTTCATTTGATACGTTGGTAAAATTTTCCTTCATGATGTTTGCATTTTTGATTAGTTTTCACCTGACCTCAGGTGAAATTAGTCGTCATTACTCAGGTAGGAAGTCAAATGATTCAAAATGTCATTGAGTGAGTCAAGTTGAGTGTTTTCTTAACCGTACAGTGTGAATTCCACTGGAAGGCTTACTTTTGATCAAACAAACTAATTGTGAGTTTTCAAAATTCCACACTCATTCAATTTCAATCCAATATAACTCACATTAGAAGAGAAAATTGATGATATCATGATATTGATGGCTTTGTGAGCTAAGGAAGGTTTGGAACTCTTTACTCGGTTCAAATATTAAAGTCTTTGTAGTAAAGTTGCTTTCGTCGATCTATGTAATCGGTTTCCACATAAAGAACTTTATTTGCAAAGCAATACACGAAGTGTACATATATTGTGGATATAAGGCGGAGATTTTTCAACGTTGGAAAACTCTTGTATCGATTTTTTGTGCATTGTGCGCGTGCTATTTTTACATTATCGATGAATCTTATTTGTGTTGCTTTTGTCGACGGTGATTTGCATATTTGCTAGTTCATTTTATCCGGGTATTCAGAACGTCGTAAAGTGAAAAAGATAAGCAATAATATGCCAGTAAAATGTACAATGTTCATATGAGACGAACATTTTTTATATTCCTTGCGATAATAATATTTCAACTGAAAAAATTACCCAGTTCATATTCATGTAAAAAGAAAGTGTAGAAAGACGAAATTATCACAACACAACAAAGTTTTTGTTTCGGGGTTGAAATTAGATGATTTTAATGTATTTCCACGTGTTAAAACCGAAAGTGACCATAAAAATTATATATTAGCTCTTGTTTTCAAGATATAGTATCATTATATTATATATATGTATATTGAGTTTTCAACAAATGAAATATTTCATCACCAACAGTTGGTACACATGTTTGTTTACATAACACCCCTCTCATCAGCTGTTCTTAAGTAGTAAACATAACCTATGTGAGTTTGTCAATTGTA